ACCTGACTGTTCCTTCCTGTCGATGTGTTTTCTCAGAGTCTCAAAGTAGTCAGGTAATCAAATACCTCACTGAATTTAAACCACTTCAGAACCAGTTAGTGTGATAGCTATCTAGTAACCCGAGGTCTATGTACAATTATTCTGTCCAGGTGAAGTTTTATAAAATTGGGATCCCTCTCATTTATTCTTCAGCTTTACAAATGTTATAAATTTGTCATCTGTTATATCCTCCAACTGGGAGACTATTCCCAAAAAAATATCCCATTTGTCTTCAACCTTGAAATCTTCTGGTTAGAGACCATATAGTTATTTAAAGCACATTGCAAATGTTCCCTGCTTTATCCTAGGGGCTGAAAATGGAGGATTCTTGTCCTGGAAGTAGATGTGGTAAGTGTAATTTGTTAAGCCGGTCAAAGAATATGGCATTCGGAGAGTCTACTGTATTTGGACTAGGTATGATTGTATTTCAGGTAATTATAACTCATTCAGTCCAGTGCTCTCCTCTCTACACTGGAGAGGAGTTGTGTTAAGGAATGTTGTTTCCATATACAGAGAGCAAAATTTTAGGTGAGGCCAGGCAGGAAACACAGGCCAGGTGGAAGATTTCAACATCAGTTCATGGTGATGAGGCAGCCAGATACTTCTGTTTTATTCCAGCAGCGCCATGACTAGTGAGGACTACCGCTGCTTTTCCTTATGCAGCAAAAAAGATTCATGGAGAGGCAATGGGAAAAAATTCGGTGAAGTATAAACTTTACAAGGTATATAGGTTGAAGGAGATCAGAGTATTATTCACTGCCTGTAGGGTGGGAGGCTACACTGTTTGCTAGAAACTTAACACTGTTTCAGTGTTGAAGTTGGGCTGAAGTGTTAAGAATTGAAGGGAGCTTAGGATCCATATGGTGAGAACCACATTTTATGGATGAGGAAAATAAGGCCAAGTGAAGTGATGTGATTTGTGAAGGGCCAGGTGTAGAACCCCGGCCTGAGGACTTCCACTACACCAAACTGCTAAAGCAGAAAGCCCACGTCAGAAGAAACAGTGGCAAGTGTTACATCTGGGAAATACAAAGGATTTTCAATCTGGATCTTGCCCCTGCCTAAGGAGAATGCCCACAGCCTTCCTCCTCTTGCTGCGCAGCAGCCCCTTCATGAGATGGGTCTTCTTAACTCCTTCTTAGTTCTGTCTTTTAAACCCACTGACAATACTTTTGTGTTCTGTGATAAGCTTTCCTGTAGGCTCTGCTGGGAGGCATCACCTTGAAATTCTGTACACGGCTTTCTAGCGGATGCCTTAATTAAATTACCTTCAGTATAAATTTATCTTTATCTCCAGCTCATAAAATTCTATATAATGGAGATGATGTATGATGCTCACATCTATTGTTCCAGCTCTGGCCTGCCTCTTGTTTTAGATTTCCAGCTGCAGAACAGGACAAGTCTTCTTGAATGTCCCGGCACCATTTGCTCAAAAATGAACTCTTACCACTGCTTCCAAGTCAGCTCCCCATTTTAGCTAGCCCTTTGTGCCTGACTCTTATTTTGACGTCACTGATCTGGTTCTGGGCTTCACTGCCTCCCATGAGGATCATAGCAACACCACTCTAACTAGCTTTCCTGCTTTGAGTAAGCTATAGATTTAATGAATCTACCCTACGCACTGATGGCAAATGTCTGCGGCAAAAAGAGAGCTCCAATCATATTTTCCTGATCAAAACTTTCCAGTGGTTTCCAATTACCTCCAAGATAAAATCCAAACTTCTTAACCTGGGTACTCTCAAATTGGGTCATCGTTCAACCTGCATTTATTGAGTGCCACCTGGATGCCATGCCCTGGTGTTAGGTACTGGAGACTTGGCAGCTTAACAGAACACAATCACTGCCCACATTGAATATTCTACAAAGCAGAGATCCAGAGTAGCAAACAGTCATGTATAACTCTGTGTGTGTGTGTGTGTGTGTGTGTGTGTGTGTGTGTGTGTGTGTGTGTCACACACAAGATGAGAGAAAGGAAGGTGGAATAGAATTAGGGAAGTAGGTATGGGAGTCACGGTGAGGAGGCCATCAGACAAGCATGGAAAGGCATGGCGAGTGATGTTCCTCCATGTTTCAAAGGGAGGGTCTAGCACATGCAGCCTTGTCTCTGAATTCCTCTTCCATGTACCCTGGCCTACATCTCCTTAACACGCTTCCTCAGCTCCTTCGTGTTTACCTTTCAAAGTCAGGCTCCATTACCATGTCTATGAGGTCTGTTTGACAATCCAGCTAGAAACGGCCCCTCTGATCTCTCAACTCCCTTAGCCTGTCCCTGTGTACCGCTGGCATGGTGTTGCTTGGTGAACACTCATGGAATGAATTTCTGCTGCCGCCCCCTGTGATTTATAGCACCTCACATCCGTTCTAGTGCATCAGGCTCATCAGGCCTTTTTGCCTTTTCTGCCTCTTCTACTCATCAGGTGGGCTTTCTCACCATCACCCAAACATACTTGGTGATGCTGTTCCAGTTACCCTCTGCCTGCCCAATCTCACCCATTCTTCATAGTCCAGACTAACTCCATTCCTTCTCTCCCGAGACCCATCCTACTCTGCTCTCTCCCTCCTCCATCCTTCTTTGGCCTTTAGGTCAATGCAATCCTGCCTCTAACTGGACAGTAACTTCCTCGAGAGCAGCACCGTCTTCCACATGGCCTACCCAACAAAGACTTGACAAAGTGGCCTCGAACTGCAGACAGACTTTCACGAATCTTTGTTCATAGCTTTGAGCAGAGAGAACCCAGTTACATAAACAATGCTGAGAGGTCCCTGTGGAGGAAAATAAAATAAACTAGCTTTGAAAAAGAGCACCTGAGATAGGATGAGGAGGAAATTTGAATTGGACCTTGGGGAGAAGAGCTTGCCCAAGGTGCAATTCAAATCAAGTCAAAACCCACCACTGTGTTTTCCTTTCTTTGCTTTACACAAATGGTTTCATTAGAACACTAAAGAGATGGGGATTTTTCCTCCAGGTATACAATGTTGCCTCTTTGAGTATAATATGTCTGAGTTTCCACTGGAATAGAAAAGGAAAGTATTTTGTAATAAATTCAAAGGAACTATTTAGGATAGTTTGATTTACTTATATGGTTGTTTTATATCTTTCTCTCTCTTTTTTTTTTTTTTTTGAGACAGAGTCTCATTCTGTCACTCAGGCTGGAGTGCAATGGTGCCATCTTGGCTCACTGCAATCTCCAACTCCCAGTTCAAGCAATTCTCTTGCCTCTGCCACCTGAGTAGCTGGGATTACTGGCACATGCCACCACGCCCAGCTAATTTTTTTGTATTTTTAGTAGAGATGGGGTTTCACCAGGTTGGTCTTTGAACTCCTGACCTCAGATAATCCGTCTGCCTCGGCCTCCCAAAGTGCTGGGATCATAGGCATGAACCACTGCCCCCGGCTGTTTTATAGTTTTCCTATTATGAGATTATATAAAGATGACCTGAAACAAAAGGTTTCAGGTATGTTTGAGTCCCTTCTAAATTACTTGTTTTTGGAGATATAAACTTTCAAGTTTCAATAACATCTCGACTTTGGAGGAAACTTCCTCTTTTGTATTTCTTCATAGAAACGGTCTGTGGCAACTGGGAAGAACGGGGAGATACGGGTGCTGGGGCTTTATCTCATCTCCTGTAATGAGGGACATTTCCTCATGACGGTTGGTTTATTAACTTCTGGCAGGCCTCCAGGAGTAAATAAAGGTTGAACTGAGTTAGGGACTATGCCAAGACCTTCTGCAGGATCCTCGCCCTTTGTCAAGTTACATCAGATTCGAGGTCTGCGATGGGATTCGGTAAAATGCAGGCCTTGGGTACTTCAGTAACTAACCCCGCAAGAGGCATAAACCTGAGACCATAGCTCCCCGTTGACATATGTAGTTCCCAGACAAGTACCTTCTAAATATCCACAGGGTTCGGGAAATGAAAAGGAGACAAATCTTTGAAGCCTTATCCACAGGAGTAACACACTTTGCAGGTGGAGATGCTTGTTACTGAACTGAAATCTTCTAACGTGGTCTTAGGTGCCCTTAATTCGACAAGCTTTCTGAGTCAGATGAGCCCGAGGGAACCTCCACTTGTATTTTTTAGGATTTCTACAGACTATACGATGCATTACCTCAAACGAGTCCTTCGTCAAAGGGAAATCACTTGAAGCCTTTCTAAACTGGCCTTGGCTGCTAGGATCTCACCATTTCCCAGTCTTTATCTGCAGTTCCCTCATTTCTACTTTCCTTTATCGCCTTTCTACCTCCTTCGCCTTCCTCTCTCTGTTTTCGGTTGAACAGTTCACAGCCTGCACTCACTCTTAGGTATCTCTTTTAGAGAGTCAAAGGGTCAGAATGGCATTTTATTTTCTTTTTCTGAGACACGTTCTAGCTCGGTCACCCAGGCTGGAGTGCAGTGGTGCGATCTCAGCTCACTGCAACCTCCGCCCCCTCAGCTCAAGCAATCCTCCCACCTCAGCCTCCTGAGTAGCAGCTGGGACTACAGGCATGTGAAACCACGTCCAGCTAATTTTTAAAATTTTTGTAGAGATGAGGTTTCGCCACATTGCCCAGGCTAGCCTCAAACTCCTCAACTCAAGCAATTCATCCTCCTGGGCCTCCCAAAGTGCTGGGATTACAGGTGTGAGCCACCATGGATGGCCAAGCTTCTTGTTCTCCTTAGTGGCACAGTCACAGCCTTAAGTTCCAGTGTCCGTAGGACTAAATTGGGTTCCGCTCCTAAGCTTAAAAGCTTCCCCCTTGGTCTGTAAACTCTTCCTCTTCTTCCCTCAAACTGGCTCATGCCCGCATGATCTTCCTTCAACTTCCTTCCTTCCTTCCTTCCACTTCCTTCCATAATCATCCCTTCCTTGTAATGACCCACTGTGAGGATTTCTTGTGCCGGGTGAGGGGTGGGTAAAGACCAACCACTGCCTAACAGACTTTCCAAGTTGAACATATGTCAAGAGTCCAGACTCTCACCTGAATGAGGAGATCGATAGCGAAAGTCCTCTTTGGTCAGCAGCAGGAGAGCTTTCCCATTCATTTCAAACGTGTTACTGTCAATTGGCCGTAAAGAAAACTCATTTTCAGCCCACTTGAGCCACTGGGCTACGTCATCCCTGCTCCAGTAAATTGGCTGCAAGCCTGTTGGAGAGAGCGCAAGGCAGAAAGAGAGAAAGGTCTTGTTAGACAGCTGGAATAAAGGGAGAAGATCTCTGAATTGTTAACGAAATGAATTTCCATGTCTCAAGAGTCCTTGTATTCAACTCTGAGTCCCCCCCGGCTCCAGTCCTTGTTTGAGCCGCCCCACTGGGGGCTTCTCCAAGCCCAGAAGCAGCCCCGAAGAGGGGTCCAGGGAGCAGTTTGTGCACCAAACCCTACTCTGGGGTGTGCTGTCAGAGGAACTTTTTATTTAGAGGCAAAATGACAAAAAGATTCTTTTTTATGTGTTTAAGGGATGGTAGGTCTCACCCAGTTCCAGGGGCTGTTCCAGGGTACCCAAGGCACCCAGGGGGGCTCAGAACTATGACAGGTGTCAGTGTGGTTGGAGGGTCCTCAGATTCAAAGCTGATCTGATTGCAGCCCAGCGTCCTTCTGAAGAAGAATGTTCCAGAGCTGGGCTTGACCTTCCAGAGTTGCCAAATAATGAAATGTTCCCTGAAACTTCTTCCAGGAAGAGCAATTCATTCAGCCTCTGGGAAACCATCAGGCTGGCTCTGAGAATAAGAGGGCAAGGTAAGGATAAAAGGTCTTCTGCCTTTTTATTCTACTCATTGACATCAGAACTTCCTGATGCGGTGGTACTTGAACTCTGCGTAGGACCCAAGTGGGCAGGAGTGCGGTATGGAGCAGAGGCTGAGAGAGTGGCTCAAGTTGGCTCTGTGGGAGCCAGACTGTGAGTCTATATTTTTATTTTGCTGCTGTGGGAAGTCTTTGATCAGTTAGAACAGTGGTTCTCAAAATGTGATCTGTGGACTCATCAGGGTTCCAAATACCTTTGTAGGGTGCCTATAAAGTAAAAGTTCTTTTCATAACAATATTAAGAGATTATTTGCCTTTCTATACGTAGAATGTTCTAGAAGGCATATGACATGTGATCTTGCAACAGAATGAATGCAGAAACAGAGATCAGAGTCCAGCCATCTTCCATTAAGCCAGACTTCAAAGACACTTTCAAAAATATGTAACAGTGCTACTCTTCTCACGAATTACTTTTGGTTTGGGAAAATATATTTTAAAATATATATTTACATTAATACAGAGCTGGCTTGCTATTTTTCCATAAATTCATAAATATTTTTAAATACCCAGTTTTAATTTATAAAATAATATAACTACAGGCAGTTATAAACCATATATGTAAAAGCTCTTTGGGGGCTCCAATACTTTTTAAGAATCAAAAGGAGTCATGAGACCAAATGTAAGAATTGTTGGGTCAGAAGAAGCTAGATGTTCAATGCATCTTCATTCTCTGTAATCACATGGTGCGAATCAATAGTTCAAATAGTTCCAATAGAGCAATGGAATCAGTGTTGCTAAGAGGAGCTTCCATCTCATAAGTTACTTAAACTTGCTAAGAACACTTCACAAGTGTGTTATAAAAATGTCCCTTGGTTTGATCCTGGAAAAATCACCTTTCATTCTAAACTAGGCATGCCAAAGAACGATCTGGTTTGCTAAATGGGGCTGCTCTTCCTCCCTGCTGAAGTGGGGAACAAACGGCTCAAATGCCCTGGAGACCGTCCAGGGCCTCTGGGCATGATTGCCTTCCAAATGGCTCCTTCGAGAAGTTTAGTTTTGAGGAATGGTAGTTGGCTTCCTCTAACCCTGTGGAAGCCCCCTCAAAACCAAAACGCCTTTTCTGTAGTACACCAAAAAATAACTACTGGGCACTGGAATCATTAGAGATGAGCATTTAAGAGTTGTTTTTCTTGGTGTTTAAGTTTTAGGATAATTTTTTTTTCACATGGAAACAACTTAGAATTTCAAATAATAATTTATGGTGTGTTACTGCTTTATGATCTTCAGAAGAAAATACGGCCATGGAAGGTTTTGTTTTTGACTCCTGACTGGCCAGAAAGCGATGCCTGTCAAAAACAGTCCATGGATATGGGAAGTGCCAACTCTTTCCAATTACCTTGAAAACACGTATCTGGAATCACGGGGCGGGGAGGGGGGGCGGCAGTGAGGGTTACTCAGCAAGATCTCAATTTTCAGACTGGTAAAAACCTTAAACTTTACTCCTTACTGTCAATGGTGTCACCTTTGAACAAGAATGACACCGCGATTTTTTATTATGGACCTTCCTCTCCTTCACACGGGGAGTTCCCATTAGCGGCACATGTGAGAGTCTGGCCCCTCAGGCCTAGGAGGGGGCCTGGAGGTGAGAGGTCCAGACAGCAGAAGATGCTCAGGCAGAACCAGAAAAAAGCACTGGGTGGCTTATTGGAAAAATGGGCCCCAAAGCAAATACAGAACTGAATCCCGCTTGGGAGGGGAAATGAGAGTAAAATGCTGAAGTTTCTGCAGAGGACACGCTGCAACGGAGGGAGGCGGGTGAGAAGGGGGTGGGGGATGTAAGTAGTAATTTGAGGTTCTTTATATTCTATGGAAGAAAATACTCATGAGTAATCTTTTCCCTAAATACAAGAAGAGTCACACTCCAAACAGCTCTGCCGGTTAAGCACAACAGTTTCTCTTTTCACTTCCCATTAATCTCTCCCACAGCCCAGCCCCTGAAGCAACCAGGGCCACCGCGTGGAAACCCCCTCACCAGGAACCGACTCGAGTGCCCTGGGCTTGTGTACAACAGGGACCCCCCGCAAGTTACAGGGGAGGCTGCAGCGATCCCAGCAGTCACACACAAGTGATCCTGACACAGCAAGCTACCTGCTCGAGGCCACTCAATAAATTTATCAGTGTCGCTGCTCTTTCTTTAGCATAAAGAAAGAAGTAGGTGGAATGTTCACTGAGCTGGAAAGAGGCTTGATAAACTTCGGTGTTCAAGTCAAGTTCCACTGCTATTTCCTTTCTAATTCAATAGAAAAAAAAAGGTTGTGGTATAGAATTGAAGGGGGTAAAAGCCCCTTTCCCTTAAACCTAAGGACTTTAAGACCTTGTGTGTTATTACAGTGTCTAAATGGAATAGAGCTTTGTACCTGGAGGCAATTCTGATCAGGCTGACTTAATTTACCTAATAGTCATTTACTAAGCACTACTATGTACCTAGTACTGCTCTAAGCACCTTACATTAATAGATATTAGCTCATTCAACTGCACTCTCACAGAATCCTATGAGATAGGGATTCAGGTTAGGAAACTGAGGCCCAGTGCATTTAAGGGATTTGCCCAAGGTGACACGATCCTAGTAATGAGAGAAGCTGAGATCTGAACCCAGGCAATCTGGTTCCAGAATCGTGCTCTTAGCCATCACACTGTACTTCCCCATGCACGTCCCTTCCAGATCCAAAACTGAGACTGGTTTTGAACATCAATTAGGGATTCAAGAAAGACTGAGTGAACTAACTCCTACCCATCCAAGACGTAGGTCCTTGGAGACTTTCTCAAATTATCAACAGACTAAAAATACAGCCCAAAACTCTGTAGAGATCCCTGGAGAAGTCGATTCATAAATGGGAAGAGGAGGGAGGTGTAGGTGGGACTCTGCTTTTAATGCATCCAGTAATGAAGCACTCCCTTCACAGGCTGCTTGCTCCCAGGCACTCAGGGGTGCTTGGTCCTGAGAGTCTTACACGGCTCACAGCTGCAAACGGAACTGAAGCTGCATGGGCAGGATGAGGTCGCACATACCTAACTTGCTTTATTTACGGCCATCTCTTGCAGCTTTAACTCAACAAAGTCAAAGACTATAGATGTTAATGCTGATTAGGAAAAGGAAAGGAGAGAGGGAGAGAGATCACTACTCTGCACCTATATTACACTATTCCCTGGGCACATATCAAGCCTCTTGAGGGCCATTTACTAAGATCAGCGTTTTAAATGCCAATTAGTTTCAGAGAATATTTGAAAAGAATTTTGTACAAAATTGTACAAAACTGCTGTGATTAAGTTGCTAAAAATTCCATTGCACTGTTCCCCCCTCCTAAGTCAAGTATATGGTATCATATCCTTCAATGACACCCCCAGGCTCTTAAACTTTCTTCTAATATTTCTTCAATTCCATGCTTTAAGGGGCAGCCATATTCATCAGTACATTTTGGCCCCAGTTTCAGACTTTGAGTTATTCTTAAACTAATGATGAAAAACGTGTTGGGAGAGAGAAGCCTGGATTTTATTCAGGTTATCTTTGGACCAATTAAGGATGTTTCATTTGGACTTTATTCAGATCTGCCATAAATTGACATTTGATTCTGGGCAGGTCACTCACTTCTGTCTCAGTGACTTCATCTGCAAAATAAGGGGCTTAGATTATGTGATCTCTATTCCCTTCAGGGCTTAATGTGGTCAATATGCTCCTATTTAATCTGAATCCTAAAAACCAAAGAATACAAATAGCCAAGATCTTTTTCTACAGAATTACTCCATGCCCACGGCCATGACCCTGAGATTTTGTAACTTCCTGAAGGATCTTCTGAATCATGGAAGACAGATTAATGCTTAAGAGTGTTTCATTATATTCTAATTCTTGGAAAAGTTATATCCTAGCTATGGCAATAATCAGTATAACTGCTTGCATCTGGGTAGTACTTCCGAGTGGATAAGGTGCTTTCATACATATTACCTCACATAATTCTCACAAAAGCTCAGCGAAGTCAGTTGCATTCTCATTTCAGTTTAATAGAAACACAGGGCTTAGAGTCATTAGGTGATTTTGTTGTTTGAGCAACACTCAGTTCAAGCTTTTTTGCTATAGTAGCCATTCGGCAAAACCATTCTTTATCCAAATGTTCTGTGTAAACAGGAATTTGCTCTAGATACTATGGGCTGGAAGACAGAATCATAACATGTGAAAGATGAAAGTTGAAGCCTGGAAGTTCAGAGACTGACTCAGGATCAACCTGCCCCTGATTCCCCGACTTTTCCTAACATCCCATGTTGTCTCATAAATTGATTCAATGACACACATCAATTTTGTAACCCTCAACACAGTCAGGACAGTTACAATGTCCTTGCCTAGTCATTTG